TTGCAGATTGATGGTATGGTAGTATTTCTTTAAATCTTTCTTTTTCTCTCTCAGTTACACTCATCCTTCTCAAAGAAGTAATTGGGAGATTCAAGAGAGAAAGATAGAAATGAATGATGTCCTATCATTTGCTGGCAGCACATTGAGACTGGACCAAGATGACACAGTCTACTTCCATCAAGAGGACAAGGTAGAAGTTGATGATGAGAAAAGGATCCAGTTCTCTATTGGCAAAACTATCATTGAATTTGGTTCTGATAAGCTCCAAGAAGCTACCATTGATATAATGGAGAATGGTGATGATAAGAAGGGGATACCAGCTCTAGGAGCTAGTACTGATTATAAATTAAAGATTTCTCATTGCTTGCAAGAAGCTAATGCTGATGAAGCTGATATTCTCTCCAATGTATTGTATGGTCATGATTTCATTACAGATGGATTACTGTCAAGCAGTAATAAAGGTAGAAATAAAATGTGATTGGTTCTTATTCAAATATCAATTCTTTCTCTTCCTCTTAGTTAAAGAAGCAAAGGATGCAATGATGGAGTTGAATAGCATCCTACCATCATTTGAGATGACACTCAAGCAAGTTAAATTAGAGTCTGACTCTCAAAAAACAAGTCAGTATAAAGGCCCCTATACACTAGGCAATGCTATTGCAGGCAATCTGTGGTTACTTTGATCTTCAGACAACACTGTTGCCTAGAATAGAAACCTGTTCTATTCTAGGCAACACATTGCTTACAGCATCAAAGTTGCCTCTAATAGAATTGCCTGGTATATAGTGCATTTTATTGTGCTCAGTTTTTGGAATGTGTTGAAAATGATACATAATTAATTAATTATGCTAAAATCTGGGACAAAATTTTATGCTATTTTAATACACCAGCTTTACTGTAAATTCATTATTGTTATCATTATTAGTTATTTTTTTTATTTTTGTTGTTTTAATTGTAGTGAAATTGATTGATACTTGGAGGAAGTTGCTTGAGCTGGAATCAAAGTATGGAGCATTGCCAGGTACTAGTGCAAAATTACCACAACTGCTAGATAGACTGAATGAGGTAAATAAATATAATAATTAACACTCTCTCTCATCTCTCAGTCTTATTGATGACTATTTTATTTTTAAGATTAAAACTGATGCTTCATCTTATGAGGAGAGATCACTGATATGTCATCTATTGAGTTATGAAGGAAGTCTTGAATCACAGCAGGTAAGACCAATACACATATACCATTCATTCATTAATCTTACATTTGTAGCCATATAGAACGAAATTTTTGAGGCTTATAAATTTTACGAATTTGCGCAAAAATTTATTTAGTAGATTTAATTCTTACAAAATTTTATCAACATCTTGTACCATAATAAATTAATTTTTACAAGAGCAACATTTACAAATTTTCAAAGATTTGTGAAATCCTCTAAATTTTTAGAGCCCTTGAAAATTTTTTCTCTGTACTGTATTCATCCATCCATTCCTTACAGGCACTATTGGGTGTGTTAAAATCCACACCAACAACATCAAAAGAGATTGACAGTGTATTGAATGATATTGTAATGCTAACATCAGTCGACCCAAGCACTGTTGATTCATTGTTCAATTACTATGAGTCATTGAAACCAGATCAAACCTCGACTGATCAACTCCTCCTCTCCATAGCTACACTCGGTCGACATGAAAATGTAGAAGAGAATATTGTTAGCTACCTTTCGGTGAAATTAATGTCAAGCAGAAAAGTTGAAGATACTTCACTTATATTACAAGCACTGGGTAACACGGCCTCAAAAAAGATTGTACCACTAGTACTGCCATTTGTGTCTGATCCTGACTTCCAATCAGACAGTATTGATGCACTCAGGGGAGTATCAATGGATGAAAGAGTAGAGAGAGAGTTTGCTGACATCATCGCTCAGTCTCTTCATAAACCTCAGCTCGTTATTGAGATTGTCGAGAGCCTATTGTTCCCATTTAAAGACTCACTCTATTCTCCACAACTAAAGAAAGACCTTCTTGTATGTGAAGGCCTCAAAACCTCACTAGTACAGGCTGGTATTAAGATACATAGTGATGGAGTTACTAGCCTCCTTAATAAATATTTTGTTAGTATTAAAGATGAGGCCTCAATTCAAGAGTTAAGAGAAGGACTACAACTAGTGGAGGCATTGCAAGGAAGAAAGAAAAGATCATCCACTTCTAACTGGGACTCTAATGCAGACTCAAAATACGACCTCATTGAGTCACATTCTGTAAGAACTAAAGACGTCAATACTTATCCATACCACAAAGGATATCTATGGGCAATACAGATTGGCTACAGTAAAATACATGCAGACATTGCTGCTGGTGGATTCGGAGGCATAGGTATCCCTGGTATTAAACTGTATGCAAGAGCAAGATTCGACTTGGTCGTGTGGTCAAGGAGGTACACAGCTCTTGATATTATCTTTAGTTATTTAAGAGAAGTCCCTGATGATCAGTCAGTGAGTACTTTAGAGTACAGACGGTACATGAAAGTTGTTGGATATACACTTTTGAATGACCACCACAAGGAGACTAAAGAGTACAAATACAAACGTGAGTTTCAAAAGAAGCTACTCGTATTCAAAGCAGGCTACAAGTTCTTTATATACGTTGGATACTTGAGTCTCGATATAGCTGGTGAAATTGTTGGAACTGCAACGTATGAAGCATACATTGCTCGTATGGACAATGATAAGAACTTGAAAGCGTTAGCTCATGTGATTACTGGGCCTACACTAACTGTTAAAGGAGAAGCTTCAGCTACCATACTGGTATGAAGCATTGTGCCCTTCTATTTGAATGTATCTTTATGTACTCTCTCTCCCTCTCTCTCTTTTCCTCCCTCCCTCCCCCCCCTCTCTCTCTCTCTCTTTCAGGAAGTATTTAAGGTTGGTTTAGATGTACCAGCTTCCATTATATACACAATCACTCCAGAAGCCTCCACTTCACTCTGTGAAGAGAAGCCCAAAGGAGATGCCAATGCTTGCTTTGAGGTGTTCAGTACTACCAGAGGTACAATAGGTGTGGAAGCATGGTGGCAGAGGAGAACCATATCATGTAAATGGAAATGGGGACCTAAATGCTCAGTGAGTAATAATAATAATAATAATAATAATAATAATAATAATAATAATAATAATAATAATAATTACCATCATTTATTAGACTTAAATTAATTTTATCGTGATTAATTTATTTTTTATTCTTATCAACTTAATTTTATTCTTATTTTCATCCTGTCCTAACTAACTTTATAACATCCTGTCCTAAGTCCCAATTCTAACTTTCCTTTCATTTACTTATTAGACTATCATTATTATTATTATTATTACTAGGAAATGTTCAGTTTTTATTTTTATCATTTCTTTCTTAGATCCACTGGAAAGACAGGAACAACTTTGGCCCTCTCTCTCATACTTGGAATCTGGTGACTCTCAAGAAGAGACTCTTTGGTATATGCAACATATGTACCTGTACTGGTAGCAACTTCTTCACTAAACTGTGCAAGAGAGGGTTCACTGGAGCTGCTAAGTGTTCCTGCAAAATCCAATACAGCTTTGGGAAATAGAATAAAGATATAGTGTTATATTCAAACTGTTGGACCTTTATTATTATTATTATTATTGTTATTATTAGATTGTTATTATTAGGATTTCTTGATGCATTATCTTTTGTAGCAGATACAAAAATAACTTAATCATAATTTACAATAGAAAAACAATTTTTCACTAATCAATGCTAAGTACAGAGTAGCTAAGCTTGTTTGCACTTTTGAACTTTTATATTAAGTTTTTCACACCTTCAATTTACACCTTTAGGTGTCAAAAGTATATACATGTAATTTAAAAATAAATAAAATCTAAGACGCGACTCTTTAATGGAATAGTTCACTCATTCTATAGATAACTGCCACCCAGCTTATTATTATTATTATTATTTATTGACAGATAGTAATAAATGAAAGAATAATGTTAGTGTGTGTGTGTGTTCATTTGACATATTTGTCCATAAATTTACGATGAAATTCTGAGCGTATAGTATCATTGATGAAATGTTGTTCCTGAAATAGAGAAGAAAGAGGGGGGAGGAGAATAGACATTAGAAAAGATCATAGATGATGTCAAAAAGTTACTTTTTTGTCAAACTCTGACTTTGCACAATTCTTAAAAATGACGTCATCATCCCACCTAATGGGGAAGAGAGACAGAGAAAGAAAAAGATGAGCATAATGAAATTTCTTTAAATGGACATAACTCAAAAATTTCTAGTCGGAATCAGCTCAAACTTTCTACACAGCATAAGGACATCAATATGTATGAGAAAATGTAATAAAAATGGGGGATGATTTCGGAGCCATTTTTCGTAAAAAAAGCATGCCTTGGGTGTTTTTCATAATTTCAGCATTTTCTTAAAATGGCCGTAACTTGAAAAATTGAAGTTGAAATGGGCTCAAACTTTCTATACAGCATAAGGACATCAATATGTATCAGAAAATGTAGTAAAAATTGGGGGTGATTTCGGAGCCATTTTTTTGGAAAAACCATGGGCTATAGCCTTGGGTATTTTTCAGAATTTTGGTGTTTTCTAAAAATGGCTGTAACTTGAAAAATTGAAGTAGGAATCAGCTCAAACTTTCTACACAGCATAAGGACATCAATATGTATCAGAAAATGTAATAAAAATTGGGGATGATTTCGGAGCCATTTTTTTGAAAAAAAGCATGGGCTATAGTACAAGGTATTTTTCAGAAATTTGGCGATTTTCAAAAATGGCCATAACTCAAAAACTTTTTGTTGGAATCAACTCAAACTTTCTACACACCATAAGGACATCAATATGCATCAATATTACATTATGTACCATTGCTCATTACATTATGTACCATTGCTCATTACATTATGTACCATTGCTCATTACATTATGTACCATTGCTCATTACATTATGTACCATTGATCATTACATGTACAAACTGAAAAATATTCTCTCTCACCTTCTCTTAATCTGAAAAGATCCTGACTGTTGCTGATTCAGCAGTGGATTGCCTTTTAAAAGATTTTCAGTTCTGATCCTTTCCTCCTCTTCTTTTCTCTCACGCTCCTTGAGAATAGAGAAAGGGAGGGAGAGGGAGAGGGAGAGAGAGAGAGGGGAGATATGGTAATTACTTTCCAACTGTATCTATCGTTACTTTTCTTGCTTGTTCCTCTGCTCTCTCTTTCTTTATCTTTTGCAACTCTTTCAATAATTCAGCAGTATCATCCTCATCACTACACGACATGTACACTATTATATACATGTACTGCACATTAGAGAAATATATTTCTATAGTCCCTCTCTCCCTCTCCTTCTTCTCTCTCTCCCCCTCTCTCTCCCTCTCTCTCTCTCTCTCTCTCTCTCTCTCTCTCTCTCTCTCTCTCTCTCTCTCTCTCTCTCTCTCTCTCTCTCTCTCTCTCTCTCTCCACCCCTCCCTCTCCCTCCCTCTCTCTCTTTACCTTTCATCATCATCCTAAAAACAAATAAAATAAAAAACAAAAATTACATTAAAAATGGCATCAAATGACATCATCTTACATCATCATCGTTTATTGCATCGTCAGGGTCTAAACTCTGAGGGGGCGGGGCAAGGTGAGGTCTCTTTGCTTCAGAACTTTCCACTGCCTTTCCAGATGACCCAGAAACAGGAGGAGCCTCTAAAAATCACAAGATGAATAAACCACATATGGTAAATCATAGTTTTTTCCCCGAAAAGTTGGCTCCAAAATCACACCAAATTTTTCTTAATTTTCTAAGACATAATCATATTTTAAAGTATTAAAAATGGGTTGATTAAATTTAGCAAATCGAGGTCTATTCATTAAGACTTTAGTCCCAAAATCGTCAAATTTTTAACCACCAAACCTCTTTTAGAGTCAATTTTCTAAAATTTTAAAACTTCACATTTTTAGCTATATAATAAAAGGGCCAATGACAATAATATAGTTAGAAATATTGGAGATATAAAATTTACTAAATTTAGGTAATTGGTCGGGTTTGATTTAACAAATAATTTGTAGCCACACGGTTCAAAACAGCAAGCTTACTTGGGAAAAGGGCTGTCAAAATTCACCACAATTTCCCCTCCAAATTATACCACATTGCAGGTTTATTTCGAGGATAACAAATTTTGCAAATTTCACAAATTTTTGAAGATTCCCCAAATTAAATTCCTTGAAAATCAATTTAATACGGTACAAAATGGCAGAAAAGTGGCAATTTGTGAAAATTAATCCCGTGAACCTCCGGATACAGGCAATTTGCGACAATTATTATCCTCAAAATAAACCCACTATATATACAGCATATACAATAGTATTAGCTCCACAACTATAGTAATTTAAAAATTTAACTTTACCGGTAAAACTCCTCTTCTCTTTCGCTCCTCCTTTGTCCCTCACGGCTCTCTCCCTCTCCTCCAGTTCTTGTCGATAGTCCTTGCCACGTAAGTCATCAGCAGTGCTCTGACCTGACTGCCTGTGAGGAGGGCACTAATTAGAATAAAAACCCAAACCAGCTCACCTGTATTTCAATTTAGTGTGAGAGGGTAGGTCACGGCTGGAGTATTGTTTGGAGAGGGCAGAAAGGTCGTTCTCTCCTTTTCCAGTTCCTCCACGGGCTGGTTCAAAAGTCGGCCTAGCAGCAGTAGTCATTTTAAAAGGAATAAATTATTTCTATTTTCTGACTCCAAATAAAACTTTTATAAAAAGATTTATTGCGGTATGAAATCTATTTTTTAATTCCCGGGCGATATTATTGCGCATGCGTGTTAAACGTCACATGACGAAACGTGAATCATAATAATCACACGTGCGTGCGGTACGGTACGGTGTTCCGGTAGGTTTTGTTTGATCACTTTGATGTGGTAGCGCTATCTCTGTATCATTACAGTGAAGTGAGTAGACTTCTTTTCTGTCTCTCATTTTATCATTGTCTACAAATATATCCTTCCCACTGTTGTTCGCACTTGTTCGCAGTTTGCTCTTTCTCTAATCTTTTCTTCCGAGTCTGCACTCCCAACTACAATAATCCACTCAGCTCACAACGGTCCTACGACAGGTTTACAAGATGCGGGCTCTCTCCTCGATCCTATTGCTCCTCGCCCTCTGTCGGGACTCATCCAGCTCTTCCTCTTGCTCCCCGGCCTTTCAAAAAGTTGTATCACTCGCCGGGGAAGAGGCGGCAAGTGACAGTATTTACTCAAGCCCTAGTGCAGGTATGTGGATACAGGGTTTACTGTACTCGCCACTAAATGGAATGGTATTGTACTAATTGGTATTGTCTATTGCAATAATAGCTGTAGTAATTAGTAACACATTATAGATTATTTATTAGCAAGAAATATGTAGAATTTGTGTATTACTATAATTTGTTAGCACAAAGTATGTAGAATTTATGTATATATACATTGTAATGGAAACACTATCCCATGGCTAGATGTTATTTTTGGCTGTTCCTCTGTTTACAAGCTAGCAAATGTGTGTGGCCCAAGTTACATGTCTTTTTGTGAGTATGTTGTAGACGTGTTATGTGTCTCTGTGCTTCATTAAATGGTTTCTCTTTTAAAGAAAATGTGAAGCATTTTGCTGATTCACATAATGACGTTAATTTGGTACCAAGAATGGTATCACATAGCATAATGGTGTCTCCAGGATAATTATGTACTAATCTCTCCCTTTCCTGTTCTCTCTTTCCCCCTCTCTCTCTCTCTCTCTCTCTCTCCCCCTCTCTCTCTCTCTTTCTCTCTCCCCCCTCTCTCTCTCTCTTTCTCCCTCTCTC